TATGCTTGGTTGTTGCCACCACTGCCACTCTCACCTGCTCACAGAAAGGGATATTTCTATGCATTTAATGACAAAGTGTCAGATTAGCAGTTATGTACAGAGTGGCAGTAAAGCCCCCTCCCCGTACCCCTCTACCCCCACCTCAAAAATTAATATAATTATTATTTTTTTCCAAATACATTGCAGTTTCAGATGAAATTTAACTTAGTATTTAACTTTAGTATTAAAGTTAATGACCTCAATGAGTACTGCTACTCTGTCCTCAAAGAATGTACAAATCTGACATAACTTCTTTTGATTGGACTGTTTTTTCTGGTTTTAGTCAATCTAAAAAAAATCTAAATTGACTTTTTATTTTATTAGTTCATGTCCCTTGTCATATTAAGCATAAATCATTGTATCATACAATTTAAAAAACAAAATTCTTACATTTACACATTTTGCAGATACTCTTATCCAGAGTAACTTACAGTTTAATCATGTCATAGATGTAGGCAAATGTGTTAGACTCTCGTTGGTATAGCATGGGGTGCTTGCCCAGCTGAGGAATCAAACCTTAGTCTGCTGTGTGGAGGGCAGTGGTATGACCCAATATGCTATACCAACCACAATTCTTGCTTTCCTGTAATCTTTGATCAAAGTGTAGTGACTTTTGCCTGCCTATAAAGCATCTTCTGAGTTTTGATTACATCACCATGCACCAGCAGGAGGCAAAGAATTATACTGACCAATAATTTCATTATTCACCTCCTCCTCTCACCCCATCTGATAAACTGCTCAGAAAGCTCAGTGATCCTGCCTGACATGACATTTTATGTCACATCACAAAGTACAGAAGGAAAATGCATTGTGTCCAATCCATTTTGACTTTAACCCCTTTAAAATCCCAGACTTATTGCATACGAAGGCTTATTATCCGGTAAATACAGGAACTTTAGTGCAAACTGGCTGAGCCATTCTAAGGTTATAGAAGTGTGTAACAAAACTTTGGGCCTTCTGGTGAGCCCTGGCCAGTTAAGAGGTTTAAAGGACAGCAAAGGGACCTTGTGCAATTTTACATATATATATATATATATATATATATATATATATATATATATATATATATATATATTTACATATATAACTTGGTTTAATTTTACCTTGACATAATAAAATGTATTTGCATCCTCAGACATACAACAAAGAGAAGATAAAGAGACTCATCTGCATTTCTATTCAAGTGAGACATACCTAAAGCCATAATAAGCTCATTTTCATTAGACGGCAAACAAGAGGAAGCTCATTCCGATCATTTTATGGTAGATTATTTATGCGATTATTGCGTTTTCCCCTGGTGAAATCTGCTCTGAAAGGCTTGGTGGGTGCCCTGCTGGGCTGAGGAAGTGAAATGCTGGGAAGATCCTGTGGAGGCTATGTCTCGCTCTGGAATGTGAGGGCAAATGGAGGTGAGAATATCCAGCAGGATCACATTAGTCTCACAGGATTTGCTCAGCTTATCAGACTGCTGCTAACAGACCACGCTGAAGGCTTGTGTGATGCCATTGACTTGAATTTGAATAAGGGTATTGTATGGATATGGATAATGGATATGGATAAAGGTTACTAAGGTTGTTAGAGATGGCCTGGAATCCTTTTGGTTAAACACAGATAACTTTGGTTTAGATATGTAAGCACTGTTTTGTTCAAAGATGTGAGCGTGAATGATTATAGCCCCTTTGAAATGTGGCCCAAGTAGATGTTGTGAGTTTATAATACTTCAGCTGCTTATTAAACAGTTACTGGCTGATCAAGAAACAGCTAATTTTAACTGTAAGGACCACTGTGCTGGTCCATACTTGAACTCCTCACTCTCATAAATTCATAACCAACACATTTGTTTATTAAGAGTTACTGAATAATTAATAACGATTCTTTACTGAAGAGTAATTACTGACTAATAACTTGGAATTTTAAGTGTTAACAGTTTCCCATCCAGTCTCCACTTTTTTCCATTCCCACTTCTGTATTGCCTCTGACTCATGCTAGTTCCTCCCACTTGTCATCCTCTTTACCTGTGTCTAGTCTGTAACCCTTCTCAATAAGTATTGTGGCCAGCTATTCTGTCCTTCAAATCTGAACATTTATAGTTCTTGGCCATGTCCAAAAGTCTTTTTGTCTCAGTGAACTCTACAGTGCTTTATGTTTCCACCTGCTTTTTGATTTGATGTCATTTGAATTTGCTGTGGACTCACACAAGTATCCTGCCTCATCCTCATCCTACAGATATTAACCTATGTTGTATAGAAAAGACTTACAGAAAACAACAACCACATTGTTGGGATATATTTTGACATCAGGAAAGCTGCATTTATGCTGTCTGTTCATCATAGCAAGGCCATATTTGTGGAGAAGTGTGGATTGTTTACACCTCTCTTTGGTCACCAGCAACACAGAGTCACAACATTTCACACACAGGGAACCCAAGTGCCCAAGTTAATCTGTTTGCAGAGTTACAGGGAAAACGTTTATTTGATTATATTAAGCAAAACAAAATATTAAGACTGCAGAAAGAGGCTACAGGCTAAAATGAGGCAATAAAATTTGCGTTCATTTTAGCGCTTTCACTTAAAAGCTACATAAGAACATGTCTACACATGAACTACTGAAACTACTGAAACTGTCCTATATGTAGAGCTGTAAGCATCATGTATAGACTATTACAAAAGGCAGTGATATCAATGCTGATTGAGAAAGCATGTACAGAGCAGAATGAGTGTATATTTAAAGAAGCCATCTCAGCTCCTTCTGTCAGTGTCTGGAGTGAGAAAGGCTCTGTCTGAGACAAACACTTGAGAAAGAGCATGTGACCAAGCAGGCACTGATCACAGCAAGATACCCTCTTGTTAGCATACTGCAGAGACTACACTTAAGTACGAGCACAGTGTTCTTCAAATCAAACTCTGTCTTGCTGTAATTAGAGACACTTCACTGGCTGAGTGTTTATCAAAGAAATCCAGTGCTGGAACATACAACTCAACACTTCAGCGTAAGTAAGTGTCGTAACAAGAACTGTATCTTTTGCCCTTTTATTCCCCTATGCTTTCTGTCAATGGTTCTTCACATTCTACAGCTTTTGAGAACAGTTGTCTGTCACTAAATGAGAGACTGAAAGAGTAAAATATACTACCGAGTCATCTGACAGTGTCGTAATCTTCAGCAGAAAGATCTGCTGGATGGCTTTACATTGCTTTGCGCTTTTAAGCTAATTGCACAGTGATGTATGGGCCTAAGTGTGGTGCTCCCTGGGTATCATTTGACAGGAATAGGCACTGCTAATTAGATTTGACCAGCATTATCAAAATGCACATTAATTAGTTACAGGTGTATCTCATATGCACTTATATAATTATAAGCATACATATAAGCCAGAGACCACCTTTCATATATATATATATATATATATATATATATATATATATATATATATATATATATATACATATATATATATTTTGATGTGTGAAGGGGCTCACTTTCTCTCACATTTCAGCCACACATAACAAAAAATGACTCAACACTATGAAGTAATGCAGAACCTGCATCACTTTATTATGCATTATCAGAGAAGTGTAGAAATGTCAGAAGTCTACTCCATTCTGGCCTCATACTTTGTCATCAGAGCAGACAAATGAGGAGTTTGAGAGCATTTGTGGGTTAAGTGCATGTAATGACTGATAATATCAAACCCATCTCCTTCAGTGGAGCTAATGCTATGCTGACACCACTGGAGCTCCATTATATTGATTCCAAAGGCCTCTCAGGGATACTCTGGTGCATTACATGGAATTGATCAGCATAGCATTTTGCAATTAGCTTGATGTGGGAAATGACATGACAGCACTTACTTAGAACACATAGAAGAGCAAAGGATATTGACTCTTCTAGACCACTCCCATGTAATTCAAATTAGAGTACTGTCTCTTTGCCCTACTGCAAGCGCACGTAGGTTATTACACTACCATTACAGGCCTTCTGGAGAACACTTGGATTTGTCCACAGACAAACCTTTCTGAATACATCTGGTTCCTGAATTAGCCCTTGTGTGGTGTTCATGTTTTTGTTACTCAGTGGTCTGGCTTTTTAATCAATACAGCCATAACAATTTATGTACATACCAGATGTTTAAAATATCACAAGTGGCCAGCGTATTGTTCTCATTTAGCAGCTGTAGCCAGTCAGCAGCCTATCCATGTTGTCCACCCTGACACACATGCACACATACACAAACACATACATACACAGCAGGCCATGTAGGAGGAGAACAGAGTGAAGGGACACAGCACCTCCACACTTTTATTCCCTGTGGGTTCACCACAAAATCACGTGTAAGATAAATGTGTAGGGGGTGTACAGTGTGAAGTCACTGAATATGTGTTATTTTATATGTTCTTCACAGAAAATTAGCAAAGATCAACGAATCTGAGGTTGAAATAATAATAAATCGCATCATTTCTTCTTTTAACATTGAAAATGGGTCCAACAGACCCGAACACCACACAAGGGGTAATTATTAATTGTCCAGGATTGGACCTAGTCTGATTGCAGCTAGTCATCTCTGGTGTTAGCCTGCAAGTTATGCTTGAAAAAAGAGGATTTCTGTCTGGCTGAAAAATACTCTTACAAAACAAAGGCGCCAAAAGGTTTTGTGGAGCAATATTAATAAAAGAACCATCTTTAGTTGCCTACAGAACCTTTCCGATGGAAGAAGAAATACTCCAGTATTTTTCAACTTGATCAACCTAGAGTAACCAGAACCACCCACTGGAATGATTTGGGCAACCAAAAATGTCTCTTTTATGGTATCGCACTAAAGGACCGCTTTTGGTACTTTCATTTTTTGATTATAGCAGTTGAGTTCATTCAAACTGACACACTGTGAAAACTGAGGTGTTCTCGTCTTGTAACAAAAGGCCAATGAGCAAATTTAAAGCAAACTAAATCCCCCATGTGGTGCTTACCTTGGCTGCAAATGAGGAGTTGGGCTTCTCCAAAAGATCCCAAAGTTTCTTTCTCTTCTCTGTACAGCATGTGTTGTCAAACTCCTCCCCTTCTCTTTCCCTCATGGTTTCGGCCTCACGTTTCAGTTCCTCATTCATCTGCTCCTTTTTCTGGTGATATCGAGCCTGACAGCAGGACTCCAGGTAAATCTCATCAATCCCCCAAAAGTCCAGCTCCTGGCTGAAGGAGAGTGCACACATCTCCTCCATCATGTGCAGCTTTCCAGTGCGATAGAAGTTCAGGATGGACGTGAAGGCTCCTGGATGTCTATCGAAGAAGTACTCATTATCGTCCAAGTTGTAGTCATCGCACACCTCCATGATGGACTCGTGGGTGTTGCAGTCTCTCAGTTTGCCCAGTCTTGTGCGCGGGAGCCGGTCCAGCGTCCTCCACAGCACCTCATGCAGCAGCCCTCCCACGTTGAGCCTCACCCTGCGGGAGCATGCCTTACTCCGGATGATTTCCACCGGCTCTGGCGGCAGAGAGGTGGTGGAGCGAGAGCCTGTCTTAATCATCTCTCTCCTGGATCTTGCACTCTTTAAACCAGACCAAAAAAAGAAAAAAGGATCACCGCCGGAGGGCTCCCAGATTCTCGACCCTTGGAGGATAGTTCACCGCCTAAATTTGGACCTGCTCTCCTTCATGCTTGCAGCTGCAAAGGGAGGGGGAGGGAAGGGGTAAAAATTGAAAGCTGATTTAGAAAATTCAGAAGAAACGCAAGAGGAGTAAACTCACACGCAATGTCGGGCTCTTTATCCACGCTAATCAGAAATATAATCCTCTTTAGGAGAAGCTCCACTGCTCGCCCTATTAGACTTGCCCTCAAATGGTCGCTGTCCAGTGCTGAAAGCAGGGCCCATACAAGCCCCACTCATTCTATTCAACGTGGCTCCACGTTTTATTATTTATTTGTCTTTTTTTCTCATAATGAAGTTCATAAGGATAAGCCTAAGTGTGAATCACAGATGTCCTTTCAAGCAGTGACTGTGTGTGCCCACTTGACATTTGAAGGTGTTCCTCTGTCCTACTCATCTCCCCTAAAGCGATAATAGCCCTACTAACACAGATAAGCAGGTTAGGTTTGTAGTTCAAAACAGATTAATCGCTGGGCAGTATGAAATGAGGATCCGCTCATCGCTTTGGGGAACAGGCTAACAGTTTAGACAGGTTATCATAAGATCATTTGGACACAAGTGGTGAAAATGTTCCAAAAATGTCATTTCAGTAACAAACTATGGCTCAAACACACACACACATGAGAACTGGAGAGCAGTTTGAGTGGAGTACAACAATCTAATGATGTGATCACTTTTTATTTTGTAGATACAAAATGACCCCAGTGTTGTGGGGCCAAAAGTTCACAAAACAGTCTTCTTTCCAATTCTATAAACAACTCGTCATACAACACATACATCTTGAAAAGAATTAATTAAATAATTATTTTATATGACTCTACAGAAAGCACAATTGCTTCATAAATTGCCCACCTCTGAAAAGGAGTTTAAGTGATATAGAGACATACACTGAAAAAAGTGATGCTCTGAATTTATGTGATTAGCCTTAGCTGAAGCTTAAGCCTAAGCGTAAATTAGCCTAAGTGTAAATTATTTCTACTTGAACATAATATACCAAATAAATTTCTTCTCTTTACTTTCTTTTGGCAACAACTGTGTTGATGTGCATTTTATTCACTTGAAAATTACAAATCAAGTAAATTCAGTGTATCACTCTTTTTCAGTGTATACAGATGAATATTTTAGAATAAGGTGCTGAATATCATCCACTCGGCAGAACGCTCGTATAAAATAAGACCTACCCGTGTGAGTTCGCTGGGGCAGATGTGAGCAGGCAGTGTTGTGGAGAGCTTTCAGTGGGCAGTAAGGGAGCTCGTGCAGGGGGGAGCTACTCCTCTCCCTCTGTCTCCGTCTCTGGAGCAGCTCCTCCGCGGCGCACGCGGACAGATTGGCGGTTAGTCGCGAGTTTGTGCTCCATTCCGGTTCGATTCCCGCGCACGGTCGACATCAACTGGTAGCCCGCGCGCCGTAAATCCACGCGCGGTGGCTTTTCCTCTGTGCAGGTCAGACTGAGAGCATGAGCGTGTGGAGAAGTGTGTGAGTGTGTGTGAGACGGAAACAGCTTCAGCTCTGCAAAGAAGCAGAGAGCGCGCCAGCTCCGCCAAGCGACTGTAGCACGAGAGCTCTCCCTCTCTCTCTCTCTCTCTCTCTCTCTGTGTCTCTGTGTGTGTCCCTCTGCCTCACACTCTCCTGAGGGAATCTCTTCCTCTCTCTTATTCCTCTAAGAGAACTGCGCGTTCTCTCTCTCGCTCTCTCTCTTTCTTTCTTTTTTACTCTCTCACTATCTCTTTATCATGATTACTCTAGCTTTCTCGCTCTCTGTCTTACTACTCTCACACACATTATCTTTCTTTCTCAATGTTACTCTCTCACTATCTTTCTTTCCCCTTATTGCTCTCTCTCTCTCTCTCTCTCTCTCTCTCTCTCTCTCTCTCTCTCTCTCTCATTATTTCCCTCACTTTCTCACTGTCTCTCACGTTCTTTCTCTCTCTCTCTCTCTCTCTCTCTCTCTCTCTCTCTCTCATATCTCTCTCACTTTCTCACTGTTTCTCATGCTCTTTCTCTGTCTTTCTCTCTCTATCTCTTTTTCACTACTCTCTCTTGCTTGTCTTTTCCTATCTATTTCAGCTTCCCTTTCTCAAACATGCTCCAACTCTCTCTCTCTCTCTTTCTCTCTCTCTCTCTCTCTCTCTCTCTCTCTCTCTTTCTCTCTCTCTCTCTCTCTCTCTCTCTCTCTCTCTCTCTCTCTCTCTCTCTCTCTCTCTTTATTGCCTTCTCTCAAATGCTTCCATTCTCTCTTTCTACTGTCCATCTCTCTCTAACACACTGTTCCATTCTTTCTTTCTTTCTAACTCACTCTTTTTTTACCATTCTGTAGCTCTGCCTCTCTCTCTGTCTCAAGCACACCATCTCTCTTTATTTCTCTCTTTCTCACTGTTTATCTCTCTTGTTCTCAGTCTGTCTCAAACACAATGTCTCTTATTCTTTCTTTCACTCAAACACACTCTTACTGTCATTCTCTCATGCTCTCCCTCACACACACACACACACACACACACACACACACACACACACACACACTAGGTCATGATGTACATCATGAAATGTCTGCTACACTTTTATAGAGTCGTGAAAAGTGCTTTTCCTTGATTATTTCTTGAGAGAGTGAGTGAGAGAGAGAGAGAACAGTTTGTGCTTAGAAACATGATACATGTAGTTCTGGAGGTTTCTGAAGACTGCAGTTGATGAGGTGTATTTTGTAATAAGCTGAGTTGAGTGCTTTTCCCTGATCTGTCTCTGTATGAGGTTGTTTGAGTAGTTAAAACGTGATGTTGAATGCTTGTTTGGCAGGAAAATGAGCTTTGCCGTTTGATTTAAAACATTGCGTGTACATAAACAGAGGCATCTTAAAGGCCTAGGCAGCTCCGGCCGGGGACAGTCAATCTTCCACAGTTTAATAAACACTGTAATGTCTTTAATGATTTGGGTTATTGAACGGGCCACGAATGACCTCTTGCGTTTTGATGCAGTGAGATGTGGGAGACTTTTCCTTTGAGCTTTCTAACTAGGCCACGTCCCTGCTGTGGTGGAACTGGATGATATTAGCTTCTCCTGGGCAAAATGATTATGTAAAGTCAGCAGTTTTACCAGTTTGTGGCAACCTGGATTCTTGAACAAAAGAATAATTCAAGATCCACAAATTAAACACAGGTGATTTATCCAGGGGCATCATCACATATCTCTGAAATTTTGCATGAATCAGGGTTGCTGAAACACTGCTGTAATGCTGGGTAAGAATAAAGCAGACATATTTGTTAAATGAAAAGTCATCTTTGGAAGTCTTCAGTTTGTTATTTAAGGGCACCCAACAGTTAGAATCTTTTCATAAAGGTGTATATAGGTCAGGAACCATGAAGGCACGACTGTACCATAGGCAAAATCCTAACCAGTGAACTCTCATGTCCTGTTCTTCTCTGAGTACAGCTTTAGGGTTAGTGCTTTGTACAAGGGCACAGTGACAGAGCGCAGTGAAGGGGCAGTGATATTACAACCTGCAGCTCTTTGATCATCATTCAGACTTTGATGCTTCATGATTGGAACCAGGAAGGTTGTTCATTTCATTTATATACATATGATTTCATTTATATACATATGATTCTAACTTTTGTGTAATCTACAAGGTTTTGTATTAGAGGTTTCTTGCATTTCAGTGGCTGCAAACAGAATTGAACTGAAGCTAAATGTACATTAACTTTAAAGGGCCCATATCTTTTTATTTTTTATTTTTTTGTGTGGTTTTATGTACAAAACATTTTCAACCTCTCTTTAGCCATAGTATAGAACAAACTGCTTTAAGACTGACACATACTATACAGCAGAGTGTGTGTAATGTCTATTTTCTGTTGCATCACTCACTCACAAAGTTCCAAACTGCCTCGAGAAGCAATATCAGCCCAAGAATTGTGTATTGGGAGCTTCATGAAATGAGTTTCCAGAGCTGAGCACTTGCAAACAAGCATAAGATCAAAAAGCATAATGCCAAGTGCTGGCTGGAGTGGTGTAAAGCACACCACCACTGGACTCTGGAGCACTTGAGCCGTGTTCTCTGCAGTGATAAATCACGCTTCACTATCTGGCAGTCTGATGGATAAATCTGGGTTTGGGAGATGCCTGGAGAACGCTACCTACTAGAATGCATAGTGCCAACACTAAAGTTTGTTGGAGGAGGTATAATGTTCTGGGGCTGTTTTTCAAGGTTTGGGCTAGGTTCCTTAGTAAGGAATAATGATAAAGTTACAGCATACAAAGACATTTTAGACAATTATATGCATCCAACTTTTATGGTAAGAGTTTGGGGAATATATATACAGCTATATAGACAGCTATATGTCAGTGTGTTGGTTTTTGTGACATCAAACAAACAATAAATTGAAATGGTCTGCTTATGCAGCTTCCACATATAGATGGATTATTTAATAGAATAAGCTAGTTCCCATAAAAACACACATTAAACTAATTTTTAAATAAATGTTTTTATAAACTTTTCATAGTTTTATAAAATGGCTTCAAACATATACACTCCTTAAACACCAAGTATATTTTACACACAGCACCAAGAATTTTAACATAAATAGACATGTATGTACAGTAATATATAAAAATATGAAAACCATGTAAAATAAATATGTGTAGTTAAGCTGTTAAAGTGGTGGGAGGAGGATGATTATTGGACACAGGGCCTCTCTCTGAGTTTATATCGGATTTGAAGCTCCTCAATTGGCTGCAGCATTCCAAACCCGTAGCGGCTGGCGTCCACTGCAGGCACCTGAGCTTCAGGGTCACTCAGCTCGATGTCCAGATGAGACAAAACCAGAAACACAAACCTGTACAGCAAAGAGAGAGCAAGAGAGAATGAAATACAGAGGAGTAGAGATGATGCGTTTGGCTAATATATGACAACTTCCACAATATCGTAGTCATTTTTGACTGAAAAGTTTTTACTCAGTTCATGACACAAAGCAGCCAGTGTATTACAGACGTGGATATATTTGCCTACACTAGGAATGCTGCTCATCTCTATAAATGGCTTTTGCATGTGCAAGAGGAGGATTGCCCTCTTTACAACAAGCTAATTAATGATCTGTATGTGTGTGTACTGATGCTAATCTCTATGGCTCTGAGCGCTTAAGGACAGCGTGTGAGCTGCAGGGATTTGGCCTTTCCTTCGGGACTCCCTTTGTCTCTGAGGACACTCACTGTCTGATGGACTGGATGGCAAATGGCTTTCCCACGCAAGCGTTGGTGCCTGCTCCCCATGGCATGGTGTAATACTTCAGTCTTCGCCCACCTTTGAAGAAGTCTCGTTTTGCCGTTCCGTCTGCGTTAAGGAACCTGTCATACTTGAATTTCTGTGAAGAAAATCACAGAGGAGTCACATTTAAATGATGCAATTTGCACACCCTCTAATGTTTCCTCACTCTTTCGTAACAGCTCTGTTTTCAACACAATGTGCCACATGTGGCCAATCAGGGAGAGAGGTTGGGTTACCATGGTATTGTCATTGTGACATCATCAGGTGTGCAGATTTTCCTAACTGATAGCATTGTTAAGGTAATGGTATCCATGACGCAGACATGTAACTAGGCTGCTTCCCACGTCAATTAGCTTCTTTCTATTATCGCTGCTCCTGCTTAATCCTACGGGTGTTCCATGTTCTGGGTTAAACCTTTCCAAAGGGTAATCCAGGGTAAGTTTAAACTCTGAGAGTGTGTCTGTGAGAGAGAGGAGGCACACTCTTCCTTATGTAACTGGACAATCCCCTTGAAGAGTTTTCCCAGCTCGACTTAAACAATACCATTATTAGTGGAGTGGGTTTTGCTAGTAGACACAATCGGTTTTTAAGCCTTAGTTGGGAGTAGCTGCAAACAGACAATCAGAAATTGCTGTAAATTGCAAGCCAATATACTAAGACTGTATTTTCTGATACAAAGCAAACTGTTTGTGGACAACATAAGTGTGTCAGTTAGGTAAACTAGAGACAATTAACCTATTAATGTGTTCTTTTAAAGCAACTGTTGCTAGGTTGGACAAGATTTATAGACAGTCAGAAATTGTAGTTCACATATCAGGTTTTGTCAAAAATGAGACATTTTTGGGGAACCCTTAGGGCCTTTCTGTGCCTTCAGAGAAGGCCTAATGATCGCTGGGAGGAAAAAAAACATAATTTCTTGTTCATTTTTATTTAATAAAATCATCATAGTACTACAATACTCTGCAGGTGTTGTAATACTACTCTTAAAATAATACTCGTATTTAATGGTTAAATTCTTGAAATGCCAAACGGAAAACTGCCTAATCAGGATTTTTTTTCTCAGTAGTATCTAGAAGACAGACAGTGAGATCAATCAATGACATTTGACGTTTTGATTTGCAAAGAGAAAAAAACCTTACTCTACACTTTCTGGACATCCTAGATACCTCACTGATTAAATTTCAAGGGCTCATGTGTGGGTCTCAAATCCCCACTTTCATAGTACAACTTGCATATTAGTCTCATAGCAGTTACAGAATAATTCGTGTTAGTGTACAACAGAACGCAGAATAGTAAGTC